GGCTGGTTTAGACCCTCTGCCAAGTTGTTATGGCCGGCTGAGTCCCTGCTTGTATGATTCACCCCTCTGTTTGTCTCCATGCCTATTGTCACCAAGACCAGAAAGTGAGAGATCCCAAATTTGAGGATTGTCATGGAAGCAAGAGGAAATCTTCCAATGGTGACAACCGTCCTAAGATGGGAATTGGCTTCAGGTTGGTGAGATTTCATTTCCCGCCCTCTTGAGTCTCCAAGGCAGGAAGTTGAGAGAAATCATTCGAGCAGCAAAAAAAAGTAACCTGACAGGAGTTTGAACTTTTCTAATCTATTTAAAAAAAAAAAGGTTTGGGCTCTACATAAATCTGAGTGCGGAAATGTTAGGCCCCGGGTAGGCAACCTTGGCGGCTGTTGTGGCGCTACAAGTCCCATGAGGCATTGCAAGACCCTAACAAGCACATGCGTGACTCCCTGAGGCAGAGGCACAATAGCGTTTGTAGTTCCATCACAGCTGCAGAGGTTACCTACCCCTGTATTAGACTGTGACCCCCTCTCACATTCCACACACACACAATCATTCAATACAACTTCAGGAAATCTTCCCGCCTAGAATGTGACAATTACAGAATATAATCTCATAAAGTAATCCTATTTTCTGGCAGCAATGTTTCCCAAACAACCTCTAACAACAAATAGTAGACTTGCAGCCTGCAGATAGTTTTTGACCCATCAGATCAGGAAATCAGTATTGTGTACGTGCGGCTCTATATAGCGCAGCGTGAGCAGTAGCGCAGTCACTGGTGACCATCGTACAGCCATCAGATCAGGAAATCAGTATTGTGTACGTGCGGCTCTATATAGCGCAGCGTGAGCAGTAGCGCAGTCACTGGTGACCACCGTACAGCCATCAGATCAGGAAATCAGTATTGTGTACGTGCGGCTCTGTATAGCGCAGCGTGAGCAGTAGCGCAGTCACTGGTGACCACCGTACAGCCTGCTGCTAGTAATAAAAAAAGAACTGATGGCAGGATGAGAATCACATGAGACGCGTTACGGGGCGGGGGACTGACTAATAGAATTATCCCTTTTATCAGACAATGGAACTCTGAGAGACGCATGCCCCTAGGCTGCTCTGTGTATTGGACACATTCCATTCACCCCCATGAACTGAACACATGAACTGCTCGATGAATCCAAGCTGGAGATGGTGCAAGTTCTGCATAGAAAAGGGGGAAACAAACTGTCCCTAGAAACTTCCTGATTTACATATTTTTAAGGGTCTATTTTTCTTTTTTAAAGGAAATTTCAACCCCAAATAGTTTTTAGTATGTTTGGGGGTCACATCTCACTGTATACAGTTTTCTTGAAGGGTAATTCCACCTTCCCGGGTGAATTTGGGAAAATGGAATTACCCCCCTCCAATCTGACACACTTCCCCCCCCCCTTATACTTACCTTTGGCCAAACGCTCCTTCCTCCTCCGCCAGTGCTGGTGCACTATGCATACTCCGTACATGGTGGTGCGGCCCTGTATTTTGAATTTCACCCGCTACTGGCAAGTACTCATTGGTCAGTGGGGTCAGATGATCTGAAGTCAATCAGAAGCGCTTTTGACCAATGGAAAGCAGTTCTTGCCAAGAAGCGCCTCACTGGCCAACGCGGTCACCTGACAAATAATGAGCGCTCACCATTTGCAAGCAAATTCAGATTAGAGAGTGCAGGGCTGCGCTGCCTTACACAGAGTACTGATAGTATACCGGGACAGTGGAGGGGAAGGGGAGTTTGGCCAAAGGTAAGTATATTGGGGTGGGGGTAAGGGGCCAGATTGGAGGGGGGTAATTCCATTTTCCCAAATTTCACCTGGGAAAATGGCATTTCCATCCTCCAATCTGATCGCCCCCCATATCTATACTTACCTTTGGCCAAATGTTCCTTCCCCTCCATCAGTGCTGGTGCACTATGCATACTCTGTACATGGCGGTGCAGCCCTCTGCCCAGTATTTTGAATTTCACCGGCTACTGGCAAGTACTCATTGGTCAGTGGGGTCAGGTGATGTGAAGTCAATCAGAAGTGCTTCTGACCAATGGAAAGCAGTTCTTGCCAAGAAGCGCCTCTCACTGGTCACCGCGGTCACCTGAGCAATAATGAGCGCTCACCATTTGCACACAAATACAGAGTGCAGGGCTGCGCTGCCGTGTATGGAGTACTGATCGTATACTGGCACCAGTGGAGGGGAAGGGGAGTTTGGCCAAAGGTAAGTATATCGGGGTGGGATGGGGGCCATATTGGAGGGGGTAATTCCATTTTCCCAAATTTCACCTGGGAAAGTGGAATTACCCTTTAAGCAATACTGTTGTAGAGTCTGTTTCCAAGTTACTTACCTGGAGATCCTGAAAGTAAACATCACTTCCTGTTTCACACTGACAGCTCTAAGTCACTTCCTCCCAATTAGCGGCAGCGTTGTCAGACTCCAGTTGGCCAATGGGCGGCCTATTAGGTCTATCGGACAAACAGCCCAATGGCCAACTGAAGGGACGCATATGGCAGGCCAACAACGCTGCCTGCTAATCACCATTGAAATACATGCATGGGATTTATTTTACCTGCCAGAGGCTTTGCCACTTTGTCCCACCTGAGATTTACACAACTCATGACCCGAGTTTTATCTGCTGCAGGTAAGCAATACAGTGTGATCACCTCCCTACTTCCAGCCTGCAAAAGGACAGTGAGGGAGCAGCAACAGACCACTCAGGTGATCTCTCTGCTCTCTCCTCCTGTTGACATGTTTCCTGTCTGTGCATGCAGCAGAGCCAGACTAATCCTGGTGCTGGTTTTCCCTCTCACAGCTACTGTACAGAAGGCTGATTATGAAGGATTGGCTCCGGTATTTACATTATTTTACATGTACACATGATGAGGATTCTTTTTAATGAATAAATATTTGAATTGTAGTCTCTTTTTATTATATCTGCCCGGAGTTCAGCTTTAGTGCAATTCATTGATTTAAACTGGACAGCGGGGTGAACTCAATGACTGGAGCAGCCCGTTTTCTTATGGCAACCAATCAGCTTCTCTTTTCAGTTTGTTAAGCTTTGAAAATGAAAGAAAGAAGCTGATTGGTTGTCATGAGTCTTAACTTTTCATGATGACTGTTTCCTGTTACAACCAACACTTCCCATCTTGCAGTGAACAAGAGGACATACAAAGAACCAGCGCCACTTCCTGGGAGAAGTCAGTGGCATCCTCGAGCCCTGGATGGGAGCCTCAGCTGTGTCTGTTAGCAAATGTCCTGAAATTTTCCCTTTTAAAGAGACCCAGTCAGCAATAGGCACCTAGAACAAACCAAATCTCCGCTCCTGAGTGCAGCCTTTCCTTGTTTTTGTTCTTTACTTGTATTCTCTCCCTGTCGGGGGGGAAATTATTAGGCTGTATGAGGCCAAAATCCTCGCTAGGACTTATATTAGGTCTATTCTATTCAGCTGGTTTAATAAGAAGTCTATGACCATTCTCTATGTACTGGGATCAGTATATTCCCATATCTGCCCTTTAGGATGGAGGTGGGAAAAGGAGGCGCTTGGCAGGAAGTTCTGACCGTTGAAATCACCCCCTAAATGATGGGGCCAAAGCTCAGTTCACACATGTGCATTCAAGGGGTACTGTGGTGCAGTGCCCCAAAGATTTTATTCAACAGTTAGGCGGTAGGCACTTGTGCCCACCCACAAGGGACCCCTCACTGTACCCCACTAGGTGAGTGGTTGGAGAGCCAGTGAACATTTCCACAATAACATGCCCTACAGTATAGCATTTGATGTCCATGTGAATCCAGGCTCAGCATTCACACTATGGTTCCTTACTGCCAGGTGAATCCAGCCTCAGCATCCGCCCCATGGACCCTCCCTGTCATGTGAATCCAGCCTCAGCATCCGCCCCATGGACCCTCCCTGTCATGTGAATCCAGCCTCAGCATCCGCCCCATGGACCCTCCCTGTCATGTGAATCCAGCCTCAGCATCCGCCCCATGGACCCTCCCTGTCATGTGAATCCAGCCTCAGTGTTCACCCTATGGTCCCTCACCTCCAGGTGAATCCAGCCTCAGTGTTCACCTTATGGTCCCTCACTACCGTATGAATCCAGCCTCAGTATCCTACCTGATATTCCTCACTGTCATATGAATCTAGCTTTAGCATTCACTCTATGGACTCTCACTGCCAGGTGAATCCAGCCTCAATGTCCACCCTATGGCCCCTCACTGCCAGGTGAATCCAGCCTCAATGTCCACCCTATGGTCCCACACTGCCATGTGAATCCAGCCTCAATGTCCACCCTATGGTCCCTCACTCCCAGGTGAATCCAGCCTCAGCATCCACCCTATGGTCCCTCACTGCCAGGTGAATCCAGCCTCAGTGTCCTCCCTATGGTCCCTCACTGCCAGGTGAATCCAGCCTCAGCATCCACCCTATGGTCCCTCACTGCCAGGTGAATCCAGCCTCAATGTCCTCCCTATGGCCCCCTCACTGTACTATGTGGTTGCAGCCCATTAAACAGAAGCCGTCATATATCACATCTGAAAAGTGCTCCCCGAAATGTATTCTAATTCAACTGCTTAAAAAATAAAATTAAAAAAACTTTCATTTTAAATTGTTATATTTGGAAAAATATCAGATTAAAAAACATCAAGAAAAACAAACAAACATTTGACATGAAATGTATAAAAATAGAAACACCGGTTTACAATCCAACAGCGTATTGTAAGTGCCGCCTGGACCCGCCATCAGCAGCCGGGGTCATTTGGTGGGTCCAGCGGCCGGGCCGGTGTGGGGTCTAGTAATCTATTCTTCACACACAGGAAAAGACCCTCCACCTTGTCAAGAAAAGAAAGGTCCCTCAAAGTCTTCTGTTGGTTTTCGGAGTGACTTTGCTGGTTCGGGACCCATCGCAGCCAGTGTATCAGAGGACTGGAAATAAATAGACCAGAAGATTCATAATAAATAGTCACATTGTCTCCGTGTGCGTCACACACAAGATGGCGGCTCAAAGCCACGTTCAGGGTCTTGATGGTCAGTGCTACCCCCTCATGACCTTGCAGCTACCCGAGGGATGAGGAATTGCTGGGAAGTAGAAGTCCTGCAAAGAGGGGAAAACATTTATCATTTTTTCTGCACTTCTTCACAAGCTGTCTCAGCCCCACCTGAAGAAGAACCCTGCCAAGAACCTAACCCGGGACTATAACACCCTCATCCTTACCAGGAAAGGTCGCACTTCCGCATCCTGGTCCCCATTCCCTCATGTATTGATGAGCATGAAGCCCAATCAGCTGTAGCGCCTTCAATAATAAATGTACCCTTTATGGAAACCAGAACCATCAGTATAATGAGGCAGCCTGATGCTTTTGCCTCGGGGGCATCTCTTAGGGTCCCATGAGGGTGCAGCAGGCAAAGCGGCATGGCTGCCCTGGTGCACAATGTTTGCACTGTGGCTGCCGCCCTCTTTCCGGCCAGAGCGTTCCAGGTTGCTAAGAGCCGGACTCATCTCCCCGCCCTGGTCTTTGCAACATGGGGCGTTCTGGCCGGCGTCCCACCACGCTCTTGTAGTGGCATCACTGGTTGCCAGGGGCTGGGCAGGACGCCAGCCAGAGCATCTCATGTTGCAAAGACCAGGGCGGGGAGACGAGTATGGTATGGAGATGAGATGGGACACCAGACAGAGCTGGGTAGGCATGAAGAGGCATATCCCCGAACCTCCCAACCCACCCCCGATAACGTGCACCAGGGGCACCCTCCCCTCTGGCCTCAGGGATGCCCCGGAGGGAAACTATACATTTTTTTTCCCCACAGTTTTAGAATAAAGTTAATGTGGTCAGTAATGACTTGCGCCTCGCGGGCACACCACATCCCTGGTTCATCTAATGTCACTGTTGGCTAGCAGGGCATGCTGGGAATTGTAGTTCTACCAGCAGCCCATCACTCTCCCGGGCTATCTGGTGTTGCTTCCTCCACGCTCTGGTCAGTCCTATAACCCCGGGAATAAGCACAATAGGGGCTGATAATGGGGAGTCACACTTACATCTCCAGATGGCCGTTGGGGTTACTGAAAAAAACAAAAACAAGTCATTAACACCACGAGACCGACTCGCACAATAACAAACAAAGTTCAATCTGCTTCTATTTGGCCTTCCCCGCCCCCTCCTCATCAACACACTCAGAAAAATGTAAATAAAACAGTTCTGCTGTCATTGCATACGTTATTTTAGACATCACTGGGTCTCTTGGCTTCTCTATACAGTGCAGGTCATGGCTGGTGGGAGGGGCCAGCAGAGTGCTGTATATAGCCGGCAAGAGCAAACAGTGGGCTGGCTCCTGGGAGATGCTATGCAAATGCCTTGATGGGTGGGTGTCAGTCTGGAGGAGTGGGCGGTCCTAGGCAGGCTGTATTTGCTGTGTCCCCTTGGGGAGACTTACCCTTGTTTTCCTTTCTGGACAGGAAGTGATGGGAAATGTATCCAATGGGGACATAGCATGCAACAAAACCCTTGGTTCAGTAAAACTGGGAAGAACCCGTCAGGCTGTTACTACCGTTTATGTCTTCTGTTGTCATATAGACAGGAAGTGAGGTGAGACAGCAAACAAAAAAAACTTGGTAAAAGTATTTAAACTTCCCCAATCTGTCCAAAACTGACCATTGCAGGGGTGACACCAAAATGACTCATAGTCATTTTGGTGTCACCCCCCTCTAAAAAGTCAGGCACTTGGTCATGGACTTCACTAAGATGGCCGTGCATGTGCGATGACGTCACGGCGGGGGGTCACCCGGCCTCGGGACGCCCCTGCATGAAGTGTATATATGTGGTATCACCCTCCTACAATCCCTGTACAGCAGAGCTCCGATTGGGGAAGAGAGAAGCAGCACCAAGAGACAATCAGTTGTCCTGCAGTGCAAGAAGCATGTTGATAGGAGGAGAAGACAGAGTGAGAGAGATGAGTTCATGAGTCCGCTGCCAATCACAGGCTGGGGGAGGGACAAGACCTGTAAGTGTCATTTTATTGCAGCAAAGAATAATCAGGTCTCCTGCCCTGCCAGACGGGACTGGATGGGCAGGTAAAACAGCTTCCTGTACAGTGTGACCTGTGTATTGCGCCGTCTGCCTGGGGGTCACCTTTAACAATCATCGAGCGTGCGCTCTTACTCATAGGTGTCTGAGCTTTTCATCCTCCGGTAGTACTTGGCCAGTTTCACAGACAGGATAATGCTGGGGATGAAGAAGATGGTACACCAGCCGATACTGAACCAAAAGGCATTCTGGGAAAGGAAAGAAAGAACCAATGAGAGAATATTCTATATTATTCATTACAGGTATTTATATAGCGCCGACATATTACGCAGCGCTGTACACACTGCACAGTCACATCAGTCCCTGCCCTCAAGGAGCTTACACTCCAAGGTCCCAGCCTCCCATATACACATACAGGGCCAGTGTAGACAGGCAGGTGGTTGGAGTGTGAGAGGAAACCCACATGAGCAAAGGGACAACATGCAAACTCCATGCAGATAGCATCCTGGCCGGAATGAATGAATGTAGTGTTAGAGGTAGATAGAACTATGCAGGAATACCCAGCACAGCCCCCTTCAGGCTGACCTGTGACACTACAGCACACAGCAATTTTCATCAATAAGATTATTGTCAGGAAGTCAGCTGAGTGTAGGAAAATGTTCTGATCAAAACATAAAATAATCTGAAATTCATGAATATCACAGAAACACAAATATCATAAAACCCAGCAGAGCATTCACCTAAGTGGTCAGCAATGTCCCCTCCATGGTGCCCGAGTCCTAGTATGACTCCTGCCAGGGACAGGATCTGCATGGAGCTTTGTAGATCCTCCGTTTCTGCAGGTCTCCTCCCACAATCCCAAAACTGCACCCAGTGCAATTACAAAGCCACCATGGATGACCTCCTTCTGAAGATGCCATTTGCCTGGCTGGCCCTGCCTTGAGTCACCACAACCAGCATGCAGATCAGGAGCAACAGGCCAGTGACACAAAGCAGTGATGCTATTGGATCAGCCAGGGAACTAGCATCTTAGAAGGGGAGGTCAGCATTGGTATCAGGTGCGTAACTGGAAACCTCCGGGCCCCAGTGCAAGAAACCATGACGGGCCCCCTGGGGAGGCACTGTCAGCGCCTTGGCAGCTACCAGGGCTGAGCCCTCTTCTTCCCTCCCCCCCCCCTAGTCACACATGCGATCACTGCAACGCTGATAGTTCTGCCAATGATTGATACCGTCTAAATGAAACCTGTGTTTGAAAGTATAAAGTCCAAATCAAGTGTCACCCCTTCTTATTGCTTCATAGTCCTGTGTCCCCCCTCCTTCCCATATCATGATAAGTGGCTGATTTTTGCCACAATAGAAATGCTGCTTCCTGCCCTCAGACTGCTGTGCTCTGTGTTGGCAGAGCTGAGTGACAGCCACGACCCCTCAGACTTGTATTGCAGAGGTAGAAAAGGGGCGTGTCTGACTGGGTGTGTATGATTGCATTGTGCTCTGGGCAGTGTGGTCAAATTCTGACGTCTATTGGACTGAGCACTGATATTTGGGGTAAGACTTTGACAATGGAAGCTAACAGAACAATGTCCACCTCCGTGAATATGAATTTCTGTTATTATAATTGGGCTTTATTGATCTGCCAGGCAATGCAGGCCCTACCCCATGTGTCCGTATGCCTGTGATGGGGTCATCAGACCCGTAGTGATCAATTAGCTTGACATAGCGGGCCTCCATTGTGACCCCTGACATCATCAATGGGCCACACATGATATTCAGTGATTGTAAGGCTACAGAGACTGAAGACATGAAACAGCAGAAGGGCCAAATGCGGCCCGCAGGCCTCAAGGGTGGACACCAGGGCATTAGACTGTTAGGTTCTCGGGAGTCAGGGAGCGATGAGAGAGAGGAGAGTCTTCTCTGTCCCATGATGAAGATGAAGGGTCAATGTCATATAATACTGAGATAAATACAAGGCGTCTTCCAAAGTCCACCCAGCACAGAGCACATTTTTGTGCGTTAATACATTGCAATGTGTGAGAAATAACCGGACTGTGACAACGACACATTCCAACCACGGATCATCTGCCCCATGGGCCACACACACACACCCTTTCATCGCTGACCCCGGATCAACAAAACAGGAAGTTACCTGATGATACCAAGGGGTTAAATTCTGATGGTCATGGAAGATCTTTAGAAGCCTGAGTCACAATAATGTCTAGCGATGGGGTTACTTAAAGTGAATCTACCAGCGACATCACAAGGGGGGTGCACAGGGTTCGGCCCGCACCGGGTGACACCATCAGAAGCTGTGACAGTAAAATGACTGACAGTCATCCCCCCCCCAAAGTCGGCCACTCAGTCATGGGCGAGAGAGAGGGGGGCACCCGACAGCATACTTGATCCCCACCAGGTCAATATCCCCCTCTCTTTACCAAGATGACTGCTGGCGGTGAAGTACATCACCGCACATGCTTGATGACATCACAACACGGACCTCCTAACACATGCACGGTGGCCACATAGGGTGACACCCACCCTGGTGCCGCCGCTGGAATCTACCATCACATACATTAACCAGTTCAGCTCTCCCCCTGTATGTCCCCTA